TCGTTTCCTTAGAAAACTCAAATTTTTTTCTTTCTTAAATTTGTTTTTAAACATCAATTATGTCTTTTATACGATCGTTTTCCCTAGAACATCAACTTTATTTCCCTTGGAACATTTATTTTGCCTTCCTTAAGACCATTTTCTCACATTTGAGGGGTGAGTCTAAAATATAATCTATTCATATAAGGTTAAAAAATACAGTTATCGACCGTAACCGAAAAAATTATCAAGAGTGTAACTTTTAGTGTAAATTGAATAGCATTTTACGTTTTTCATAACATTCGTGTAAATTGTATAATTATTCCAATAGCAGTCTAAAAAGTTATCATCAATACATTTTCTCGAGTGTAACCAAAATTATTATTAATTGTGTAACTTTTTAGAATATACAAATAATATTTTAAGTTAAAATTCACCATAATATAGTATTTCCGATTGTAATCAAAATTATTACTAATTATATAGTTCTTTATGTTGAATAATATAACTTTTTAAATTAAAACTTACCGCACAACAAAATTACTCTCATTTTTTGAAGACGTTTTTGTTTTTGTTTTTTTTTAAATCATTACATTTCTTTAACCAAATAATAAATATTAAAATTAATTTTCTTCCTTTCTCTAATTTTGACTATCCAAGACAAGAGATAAAATATCCAATCCTAGGGCAAGACAACATATTGATTGCATCTTCTCACTTATAGGCTTATCCATGCATCATCCTTTACTTTCAAATTGCACTCTCTTGTCTTACGTATATAAACAATTCAATTATATTTTTTTATAATTTCGTCGGAACCTAATATCAGAATCCGTCGCTTTCCTTCATTTAATATATTTTTTATATTAAACCTAATTCCGTTTAATTATCAAAAATAATATCCTCTTAATATTTATTTATTAATTTAAAAAAATTAATTTTCAAAATGACACATATTTCTATCACATAAGATGAAGACGTGTCTACATGACGACGCCTTTTGAAAGGCTCTTCCTCGAGGAATAGTCTTACTTAAGTGGCAGATATATAAATGACGTAAACATTGGTTCGGGTTTTGGCACATAAGCAAAGGTACTTGTTTGAGGAAGAGCCTTTCAAAGGACATTGTTATATAAGAGCGTCTTCCTCCTTAAATGAGTGTGGTCTTATGAACTAAATTCTTTTAGGTGCCATTCTACTAAATAAATATTAAAATGGTGTTATTTTGATAATTTAGCCATCTAATCTTCCTCCCAAATGTAAAAACATGTAATCAAAAGAAAACAATGATTAAATGCCACTTTTGTTCGTAATGGTTGAAATTAAAATTTGTTTAAAACAACCAACAACCATTTGGTATATTGGGAATCAGATGTTCGAATCCTGTCGTTTGTGAATGGAGTAAATTAGACTGAGAAAGTCGTCATCGCCTTTGCAGTACCCGATCTGAATTAATCGATCAATAGATCAATATCAGTAATTAATTAAAAAAATATTTAAAACAAACACGGCAACGAATATATATAAAATTAAAGATATTTTTTAGTTTATAATTATATTACTAATTGAAGACGGAGTTTTATGGATAAGAAAGTTGGCGATTATGTTAACAAATGAAGATGGAATCTTATGGATAGGAAAGGTTGAATATTCCAAAAGATAAAACTTGGATCTCTTCAATTTGGCCAGACATTTCCCATGTGATATTCTTCATCTTATTTCCCACTTGTTTACGTCTTTTTCTTTCCATAGTAATATTGTGACAATGGTTTTCAGAATCGGACCGGTTAACGAACCGGTTATTCTATCGGTTCACTGGTTCAACCGGTTCAATCGGTCGGAAGAACCGGACGACGTTATAATTATTTAAAAAATTAAATAAAAATACCAAAAATATTTAATAAAAATATTTTTTATATCACAAGTCATATTCAAAGCAAGTCATAACATATATAAGTTAAAAACCATAAAATCAAATAAAACAAAATGATTCAAATTAACTACAACATAATATTTAAGGTAAAACATATTAAATAATAAATATAATTATATAACTATAATTAAAAAATAAATTTGGGGTTAAAAAAATCATAACAAAATGATATTGTTTGGTTTAATTTAAAAAAAAACAATCACACATGGCTAAGAAACATAGAAGAGCATCCAAAAGTCTAAAGAGTAAAAATATGATAACAAAACAATCCTACATTGCTAAGAAACATAGAAGAGCATCACAACTAGCTTCTATAAATAATAGAGGTAATTTGACATTTAAAATAATGGAGCCTTTTGGTGAGCATTGAGTGAACTATTCTTTCACTTCAATTAAGCTCGAATTTTAGGCTTCAATCGAGCTTCTAATTTTTTTTTAGTTCAAGCCTTTTTGAGTTCAAGTTTCAATATTATATTTCGAGTTTGAGTTGAACTTGATAATTTTTAGCTTGAGAGTTTGAGTCGAGTTGAGCTTACTTTTAAAGTTTTCAAGTTCGAGTTGAGCTTAGTAATACTCGAGTTCGACTTGGCTCGTTTAACAAACGAAGTTGTTTGGTTTAATTTAAAAAAAACAAAATTTCCGGTTTTTTCCGGTTTTAACAGGTCCGGTTCGAACGGTTCTGGCCGGTTCACTAGTAGCGGTTCAACCGATTTAGATTAAACCGAACTAGCACACGGTTCCAGTTAAACCGGCCGTCCGATTTTCAAAACAATGATTGTAACTACCGCTCATGACGGATTTAAAAATATTTTTTTAGGATGATCGATACATATAATGATAAAATAAAAAAATTATATAAAATAGACATAAATAAAATTTATGAATGGTGACAACTAATAAAATAAATAATTAACTGTAAATAATTTAGATATCAGGATTGACGCATCCCTAAAAATAAACTACATATGTCATTGATAACCAACCTCTGATTTAAATTTAAGATAATTGGGTCTTGTCGTTATTCTTTTTTTTTTTTATTTATTGATAAGATTAAATAGATTAATAAAGATATTTTATCTCTTTTAATTTGGCGGAGAGTTATAACTAATAGGAGATTAACTATTAGTCGGTGTTAATGTTCTCTACCTCCATGAGGAGGAAGAGAAGAGAACACAAGTGAGATGATTTCATAAAGATTTTATTCACTCATTCGCTCTTGATGAAGATATTTTATAGTGAATCTTATAGTTGGTGTCAATAGCATAAATATGATAGTAATCCATAGACTAATAGATTAAATAAATATGATCAGCTGGAAATGAATTTGATTTTGATAGGCCACATAAATTTATCTAAAGTCATGTTAATAAATTATGGTTTCTTGAGATACCTCATAGATCTTGAGATACCTCATAGACTCGAGATCTTTTCTTTAAAGATATTTTTTGTTTTTTGAGTTCGTAGTGTTGAAGATCTAGAGATGTTTTAATTCCTTTATTGATTATAAGGCTAAAAAACAATAGGATATTTAGTCACCCGTCTATGTTTTGATTTTGTTTGGGTCACTTAATTATCTTTTTTAAAAATCATCACTAACGTTAGGTTTTGTTATCATTTTGTCATCCCGTTAAAAATTAATAGTGATGATGACGTGTTATCATAAGATATTGTTACGCTATCATTGAAAAAAATAAAAATATCATGTTAACATTTCTGTTAATTTTTTAACGATAGATAAATAAAATAAAATAATAATATAACATTTAAGTTAATTTTAAAAAAAGTGTTAAATAATTAAAATAATAACTAGATGATTAAATACGTAAGTTATTCAAAATAATATGTGCGGCGAGCCTATAATGAGATACAACAATATTAATATTAGACTGCGGGGGGGAAATGTTCTATTATTACAGAGTTGTGGTTTTGAAATTTATAATACAGGTTAGATTCGAGAATCTTATACATATAAAATGTATGCAATATCAATAACTATTTTTTTATGCGACGATTTAAAAGTCCTCCTTAGTCATTTTGGAGAGGCACCTACACCAGTTAGGTCATTCCTAGTTTTTAGGACCCACCTTCCCGTCTTCAGTTGCAGGTTCCTCCCACCATAATATGTCACCTTGCCTAGGTCTTTCTGTTCCCTTCGCTACATTCCAAATTTTTGAGTTTAACGTACACAAAGCAATCAATAATTACAAAAAGCCATATTTTTTTAAAATAAAAATCTTATTTACATAATTTTGTCTTTCTTGAGTCCACAATAAGTTTAAGTTTCTCACGTGGCAAAATTTCATTGGACTTTATATTTTATTGCTTGGCTTGTCTAAAGGTGAGAATTCGATAAGTTAAGTTAAAAGAATTTAAATTATTCGAATAGAGGAATCATATTTTATAATTAAATTTTATTTGATAGTTTTTTTAATCAAGTTATTCGAGTTTTTATTTAAATTTAATTATAAATATTTATAATGTTATTATATTTTAATTCTAATTTAAATATTTTTCTATAAATATATATTATATACATATATATATTTTTATATTTTTCATATGTGATATATATATTATGTATAGTTGAAATATTCAACTAGAGCTCTAAAATTAATTTACTAATTACTAAAAATTTTAAGTTTTATTTTATAAATGATTGGAATTTAATTTTTTTTGAATGAAATCAAATTAAATTTTCTAATATTAAATTAAATAATAAATTTAATATTTTTAAAATCAAATTTTACTATCGTAGAGTTGGGTATACTCATTGCTTCCACCTAGAAGCTTGGTTAGGTCAATGAAACTTCGACCAGCCTAATTTAAAAATACCAAAAATGTAGTCCGAAACGAAGAGCCGCCGGGCAAAACATTCCACAAAATGCTTCCACGTGTACGCTGTGGTCACCCAAACAACCTTATCACCATGCAGTTTACCACTTGACCTTCAAGGCTCAAGCAAAGCCATACAGATGTCACATCCACGGGCAATTGCCGGTCACCACTTGATTTTATTAGTTATCACGTGCAGGACGGACATTTCGTTTTTATTTCCTATCAACCGGGCATAGCAGGTCACCCTTAAAAAAATCAAAGATTCACAGCCGTTTCTCACTATTTTTCTTCGCTTCCCTTCCCATATAAATTGCCCTCTCGGAGTTTGGGGCAACTTCGTGTCCTATCCCGCTTCTCTTTACCTTTACTATTAGCCCTTGGGTTCCCTCTTTATTTACGGATATACCATTCAGGTTATGATTGCTTGTAGTCATCGGAAACCCGAGAGCCGCCGCACCGCTCCCGCTCTCGGTTTCCCTCGCGTTAGGTTCTTCCGTTTCAGGCGCTTGAGGTAATCGTTGACTTCCGCTTCACCCCTGCTCTCCCAAGCAAGAAAAAAAACAGACAAGTTTTTTCTCTTTTCTTTTTTCCTTGTTTATTTTCTCGTTTGAATTATTGTACAAATATTATACTCGAAGATGCCCAATTCGAAAAATAACCGTAAGGAACCGGAGAAGAACCGGAAGGTGAGGTTATCTGAAAAGGCGTCGTCGTTTCACGGGAGAATCCCGACGATGCCACCAGCGGAGCTGAGGCGGCCGAAGACGGTGCCCGATCTAATTCCAGATTGGACTGTTGCCTTATCACCGGATTCGAGGCCGAAGTTGATGAAGCTCCTGTTGAACGTGACTATTCAAGGGAGTCTTGGAGCTGTGCAAGTGGTGATGTCACCTGAGAACACTGTCTCCGACTTAATAACTGCTTCTGTTAGGCAGTACTCGAAAGAATGTCGCCGTCCGATCTTACCTTCAACAGACGCCTCGTTGTTCGACCTCCATTATTCTCAATTTAGCTTAGAAAGTAAGTTAAAAGAAACCACAGCCGTTCGATTAGTAATCAGAATACACGTGCACAAATAAGATTGATTGCTGATGTTTCCTTACGTGGTGTGGTGGTGCAGGTTTAGAGAGGGAGGAGAAACTGATGGCTCTGGGATCGAGAAACTTCTTCTTGTGCACCAAAAAGGCGGCGGCAAAGGACGGTGAGAAGCAAACGACGTCGTGCTCCAAAGAAGCGGAAAAGGTTGCAAAGAGCGTAATACCTTGGCTCAAATTCATGAATTTCTAGTTTAAAAGAAGAATCATGGAAATTTCTTTTGTGAAAAATACCAATTTGAGTTACAAAATGTCATGTACTATATTATGTTTATTTTAGTTAATTTTAAAATGTGTATAGTTTTCTAGGCTTGGAATATTCGATTGCAAAGTTTCTTAACATTTTCATATAAGGTAGCACGATATTCTTATAATCGGTTTATTTATTTTTATCAAGTACACAAATAGTCTCTAATTACATGACCCTACTTTGTTAAGTTATTATATTATTAAAAGTTTTAAAATGATCATTTTATTACAGATGTATTTTATTGAGTTCTTTAACTATTAAAAATTATAAAATAATCATCTGATTATTTATATATTTTAAAAAAAATATTGACGGCCGTTTGAGTTAGACATTAATCTGTTGATTGAGATATGATAATATCTATATTAGTATCTCAAACGATTATACGATTCTTTGAGATTAAATTTCATCATAACATAGCTAGCAAGATAATATCTAACTCAAACATCATTGTTTTTTAATATATATAAATAATTAAGTGATTATTTTATATTTTTTAATAGTTAGAAGACTTAACAAAGAATCGTATTATTTTAAAATTTTAATAATTGAAAATTTTAATAAAATAATATTATATAATTGGAGATCATTTATATATTTTATTCTTATTTTTAAAAGAAAAAACACAAGCATACAAGATGATGAAGCCAATTTAAATTGTGATTGATTGAAGTGGTGAAAATTTATATTTGATAATTTATTTTTATTTCTAAAATGTCATAAATTTATTTTTTTAAAATATTATAAATACATGTCTTAATATAAAATCGTATATGTATCTCTTATTAAATAAGCTTACAAACTATTTCAGGTTCCACCCCTATTTTTCAACTAGCTATACTTATTTTTACCGAGTTTACAATATAATTCTTATTTCTAGTGAAAAAACAAGAGGAACATGAACGTGTAGTTTTTTATTATAACTTAAATCTATTTAGGTTGAGATTTTTTTTTATAGATTAATCACTATTATTTATAAGAGTAAGATGGTTATAAATGATATAAATTATAAATAATATTGTATAACGAGTAAATTATACTTATAAATAGTGATGAGTAACAGTTAAATTTATACTAAATAATGAAAAATGAAAAAGTAATAAACGAGAACTTCACTAATAAGAGTTGATTCAAGTGGTAAACAGTTTGATATTGCTTAAGTAAATTCTCGAGTTTGAGTCTTATGTATGCATATAACTTTTACTAGGAGAATATTGTTAAGGTCTATCCTAATTAAGGTGACTAAAATTTGCTTTTAGAAAATTAAATTAAATTTAAATTTTTGTATTTAAATTTTGAGTTCAAGTTAAGATCAAATTAGAACTTTCTTGACGTATTAACATCCTGAAGAAGTTGTTGCTCAAATCCAAGGTCATTAAAAAGAATAATATGAAAAATATATATGTATAACATATTAACATATATGATTAGAGATAATATTTAAATTGGAATCAATTAATATCATAATATTATAAATAATTATTTTTAAATTTGAACAAAAACTCAAACGAAAATATTTAGTCTGACACAACTAGAATCATTTAAAAAAAGAATTTAAATAAAATTTAAATAATAAAATGATATTCGTAGAATTAACTAATTCAAAATTTTCCAAAATTCTAAATATATTTTTCTAGTATCCCAAAATTTTTCTAGTAGGCTTTCATCATTTTTGACCACTTAAGAAAAAAAACTAATTGTATACATTTTTATTTTATGTGACCGAAAATTATCTTAATAACCTTTTTGGATAATATTCTTACAATTAATTTTAGGATGTATATATATTCATAAAATTAAATATAGGTTGGAAACATGTTTCATATTTAAAATAAAAATGAGGTGAAGATCCCCTGACCCCTCAAATCCTCTTCTTTTTGCCGACGAAAGCTACTGGAAATTTCATCACTGTGTTTATCTCAAAAAGTAAGCTCTATAATTGTCTAAACATTTCTTCAAACATCTTTTGTGGTAATTGGTACGTACAAATCATTGTAAATTCTAATGTGATTTGTAAGGCACATAAAGATTATTATTATTATTATTATCATCTCAAGTAAAAAATTGTACGTACGTATATATTGTGTATTTGAACTCATCAATCGATTTTAGTAGTAGAAAAGATGTTCTCTTTAGAAATAGTAGGTTCGAGCATATGTGTTTATAAGATGTATATACGTTGTCAACAACTAAGAAAAGATATAAACAAATAATACTTTGTAATCACATATACTATTATATATATATCATATATGTATGCACTCAAGAAAAACGTGTACAGGGCAGGACAATAATGGATGGTTGAATAATGTGATGTAAATGAGTTTTGGATTGGTATGAGATTGATGGATTATTATAAGGTGAAGATTAGACAAGAGGTTTGGCCTCTCCTCTAACATCCCCAGATGCAACCCTAAGTTTATCTACGAGGTATGAATACAATAATACTTTTGTCTAAATCAAAAACCAAATGATTGAGTATTTTTAAATAATGTGCTCCTTTATTTTCTATGGAAATGTTTTTTCAACTTAAATTTTGAAGTTTTGTTTTTTTATAAATTGATGATTTTATAAATACTTGTTATGGGCACTTTTAGTATAATTTTAAATTTCAATAGTATTTAATATTTATTATATTTTATCTTAAAAGTAGATCATTATTTTTTTAATTCAAATTTACATCAATGTATTAATACATAAAATTAATATTTTGAGGATGAAATTCTTTATAATATATATATATATATATATATATATATAATATAAAATTATTTTAGTTTTACACATTTAGGATTGTTAAATGAGTAAAAATATATGACTGAGATTAACTATTTGTTTTTTTCTAGTGAATATCTTTAATTATACTATTAATATCAGCGTCTATTTTTATTCATTATGTGTAAAAAAAATACATTATATAATTGGATCATATATATATGTGTATTTGTGTGTATATAATAAGATTTACTTACACTATCTAAAACTCTTTTAATTTTACACAAAATTAAGACTGTTGGGTGACGAAAATAGATGACTAAGATTAATTCATTTTTCATGAATATCTTCTCATTTCCTACTATATATCTCACCATTTATTTTCTTTCATCTAACAATCCTCAAAGTATGACTATTATCTCTTGAATAATTAAACTATAATGATACTTTTTAAATTTTTATAAGAAATTAAAAATTTAGGGATATATAAAAAATTGAAAAAAAAATGAATTATGAAAATTTGAATATTATAAATTCTTATGTTTAAGTGGAGTTAATGGTATCACATGTCCTCAAAGTATGACTTTTATTTTAAATTTTTCCTTAAACTTTTAAAAATTTCAATTTTATCCCTAAACTATGACCCTCTTTCTATATTGGCCCCAAACTTTTTGAACATTCAATTTCATCCCAAACGATACATATATACTAATCACATCTCTTATTAATAAAATCGTTAAGTCAAGTTATATTATTACATGTTTGAAAAAAAATTAGGTTAAATTATAGTTGAAACTAATTACATATTTGGATGAATATGGGGATGAAATTATAATATTCAAAAGTCCAGGGACTACTTTAGAAAGATAGGAATAGTTTAGGGGTGAAATTAGAATATTCAAACTTTTAAGGACTAATTTAAAATAATAGCATGATTTGAGGATGAAATTAAAATATTTAAAAAATTTACAGATTAATTTAAAATGAGAGTTATAACTTGAGAACATAGGATACAATTTACTTGTGTAAGTGTGGATTAAAGAAGGTTATATATATAAGATTTTAATAACTAGAATCTAGGTGAAATGGGATATATTGAAATTTTAAATTATAGTTCAAACAAAGCACGCTTGAAAATTGAATTTGAAAAGATATGATCCCAAAAAGAGAAGTGGGTTTTCCTGGGCGATCGTACCACATCGCTTAAAGATCTAGAGTCCATATTGGGTCACAATATATTTTAGGCCCAAAATAAATTGGGTCGGATCTTAGAAACAATCTCTTCTTAAAAGGCCCACCAAAATATAAAACATAGTTGACCGGCGAATTGCTAATAAAACATGGACGACCTCTTTTTAAAAGGCCATGAAATTTTAGATGATTAATCGTTCGTATCACTGAACTTTCAATGTTTTAATTACAATATTGAATTGTGATTTTAACTTAATTATATTATTGAGCCGTCAAATTTTAATGAACAGACATGGACGATCTTTTCGTCACTATATTGATGTAGACAAAACGATGTCATTTTGATGTGCTATTGATGCCCAAAACGATATCTTTTTAGGCATCAGGATCTTTGGTCGACGGACCTGTAACGTTGCTCTTCCTTCGTGTAATAGACTGGAGTTAGCAAACCTTGGGGATGGAACATACAAGTTGTATAATGTTGTAGAAGAGTTGGCTTTTCACGCAGTAAATGAGTGTCCCTTGGCTAGGGACGTTTTGATGCCATAGACCTAATGGAAAGGTGGTGGGTGGTCATGCTCGTAGACTTGATGGCTTCCAATGGGCTAAACTAGTAGAATAAGGAGCATTTTGGAGGGTATCACCTTAGCTGCTGAGAATGGTTGGGGAAATGTTATAATCGAAGGGGATTCAGCTTTCATTGTGCATCCACTTGCCAACCCGATTCTTGATCTTTAGATTGATGCTCTTCATTAGATCGAGGCACGCAGGGTTTTAGAGGCTCACCCGAGTTTTAGTTTCATTATGAGAGGCGCATACTTGGTGGCTCACAAGTTGGCTCATTAGCTGCTTACTTGTATTCATCCTTTATGGTTTCTTTCTGATTTTTCATGTTTGTTTTTGTAAGTGTAATTTTGAATGCTATTAATAGTTAATTGAATCATCTTATTTTAAAAAATAAAATAAGGATGTATCGATTTGTCACTATATTTTATAAAAGTTTGATTTTAGGCACTAAAATTTTTCGCCGTTGCTGATAGTGAATTGTCCCTCTTTATTGATCATCA